TTTAGAAACTGCGAAGGCCATATTGTTGCTGTTTTTTCAGGTCCAGTTGGAGTAGGGGATTCAGCCTTTGCGGAGTTCGAGCTGTCTTACAAGGAATACAGATTACTAGAGAATTAAATTATGACAGGATGGTAGTGGAAGGTGACTCTAAACTGGTAATAGGTTGGTTGAAGGAACCTGAAACAGTAATTTGGAAATATAAAGTGTATATGAAAAGATTTAAGTGGCTGGTCAGAGATATGGTAATCTCAGTCCAATGGGAAAGGAGTTCAGCTAATGGGATGGCTGATTTTTTTGCAAAACGTGGGGTGCATAGATCTGATTTATTTTGGGCTCAGTTGTAATCTTGTTTCCAGATGGGGCTGCATCTCACGCCTCTCCTGGATGTACTCTGTAACCTTGTGATATTTCTTCTAGTCTAATAAAATTTCTATTGTTCATCAAAAAAATACATATATGAGTTGCAGTTGGATAGTTATTTATTTTTCCTTTTCATACAGGCAATTGAGACTAGAGTTTCATAAACCACATTTTTGCAATAAAAATATACACATTATGTCAATATAGATGCCAAATAAACAATAAAGTATAGAAATAATCTTGTGGCTCAATGGTAATATATCTTTTCTTGGGAAGGTAGGTCATAGGATCGAGTCCCCTTATAATCATTATTTTTTTTCGATACAGAATTGATTGTATAAGAATCAATAAAACTTTTTTTATCAGCAAAAAAAAACTTTCATTAATAACAGAGAAATTAAGTTACAATAGATAAAGATTGCAGAAGAATCAATAAAACTTTCCTCACTRGCCAGAATCCTGGATAGCAGACCAAATATACAAAGCCACCTTTAACTGCAGAAGCAAACTTAAAGAGAAATTACAAGTTCATTCCCAGCCCATACAAGACTTTCCCTTATGGCCCCTGCTTTTCAGCTTTTGCTGAGGTATCAGCCAAGATGTCAGTGTAACTACAACAAAGTAAAGACCTTGGTTGATGGTTTTCAACAGTTCATCTAGGCCAATAGTGAACCATCCAATTTTTTAAATTTTTGAAAATTGAGATTTGGAAAAAACAGAATAGCCACTAGGTTCCAGTTCAAATGATTCAATAACTTGGTCCAAACTGAGTCTAACAGCATTGATCCCATGTAAATACAAAGAAATTCTCCCAATATGCATCTTCAATATTTTTTTGAAGAATCAGAAAAAAAAAGATTTATTAAAAGAAAAAGAGTACATAAGAAAGGTGATAAGATATCACCCGAGAAAGAGGCACATCCAAAAGACCCTTACACAGAGACCATTACCAACCCAAATCCAACCCAAAGCCAGACAAAGATACAAAAACCACACATTACCTAAGGACAGTTACAAACCCCGGATGCTAAAAAGGAAACCCCTAGAGCTGAGACCGCCACCATACTGACCGCTGAGCAGACTAAGCCTCTGCTTGCGATATGAGCACAGCCTCAATCTTCGTCCACTATAGCATCTTCTTGCCCAGAATCTTCCTCATCCCAAACCTTGCCTTCTTTCAGTCGAGCTCTTTTACTCAACTTCTCATCCCTTCTTTTCCTCTCGAACTCCTCAAAGGCCCTCCTAGCAAATTCCTCGCCGCCCCAAAAACATAAGCCCGGGCTTTTTCCGATTGTTACCTCTCTTTCTGCTAATTTCTGGATAGACACGCCATCTGAATCATCCTTCTTTTTTCGCTTGTTTGTAACAGCAAGTTCCCACCAGAGTCAGCACTTTCAACACCCTCCTTGTTTACTTGTTTCTCTTTCCCTGATTGGGTATCCAATGATTTAAGCTGCAACATAGGCCCCCTTTGATCACTTCAAATTATCACATTTCCTTTTGCACTTTTTCTCCTATAAACCCATTTGTAGTTCTTTGTAGGGCCTATCCCGACCAACCCGAGCTTTAGCCTGGAAAATTTTTGTTACGTGCACAACGTTATGATTTCTTGAGCTGCATATTTTTTTAACATTCACCTCATTAGACATCTCCTTCTCAATTTGTTCCTTCGATCCAAGTCTACACCCAATTTTCCAACCAGCACCTCCTGAAAACGTAAATGCTTGCCGATATTACTCTGATTTATATTACCTTCATCCCCTCCAGCAGCTGTAATCCCCTCTTCTCCGGCTGTGATTTCCTTTTCTGAATTATCTTTGATGAAAGACCTTTCACTCCTGTCTTTCTTTTCTTCCTCCTCTATCCCCACAGAACCCTTAGGACCATCCTCCTCAGGGCTTGACACAACTGTAGTAGCAGAATCGGATTTAAGGTCTTGAGAATCCACCTCTGCACCTCTAAGTTCAGAAATAGTGCCACTCTCCACAGGCCTATTGTTGGCATGTGAACATCTTCCAAGTTCGCTCTCATCTCAGGTGTCTAGCCATCATCAAGCAACTCCTTTGATCCTCCAACCAACCTCTTCTTCCCACTTTTATCATATTTAGCGATTACCCAGACCCACCTCTCCTCCCTTCTCTTTTTAAACTCCAACAACACACACCCTCCAAACTTCCCTTTTTTTTTTGCCTATTGATCTTTACCTCCTTCCAACCTTCTAATCTCCCTACTATCATCGCGATTGATAGTTAAGACCTGACCTTCACTCAAGACTCTTTCTGGACGAGAAACCTTCGACAATGATAGACGATATCTACTATTTATAAGATGAGCCATGTGACTTTGAAACGATTCACATGTATCGACTTTCTCACACCCGTTATCTAGGCCTGCATGCGCATCTTGGGTTGGTGCAATGTCCACTAGCCCCGTAGTAATTGAGCCCCCAGAACTCTCTAGCATCGAATTAGATTGGGTTGGGCCCCCACCAGGTTCAGATCTAAAACTCTGGGCCCCACTCCTATTAACTTTGATGAAGGAAATCTCACTCCTTACGTTAAGATTACCACCAGATAAATAAGCAACACTTTCATTTTCGAGGACTACCTCGTGATGGGCCGCAACGTTCTACTGTTCTCCTTCCAAAATGCATGCGTCATTTAGCTCTTTATCCCCTTCATTAACTCTGTCGCCACGTGAGCTCATATTTGTCAGATAATCATTGTCTACAACCTCTAGTCTAGCCCATTCCTCATTAGCAACGTTTCATATTCCGTCACCAACCAGACTTTGGTGTAGGCCACCAACAAGAATGTCAACCGTTCGGGGAACATCTGCCAGCATAATTCTGATAATCTTCAACCTCACTGCTCAAAGAACTGTTGCATCGACCTCTAAAAGAGAACCCCCTAGAGCTTGAGCGATTCTTTTTTTTTTTTTTTTGATAAGTAAAGGGTCATATTCCATTAATTCAAAGATCAGTTGCATGAAAATCCCCTTAGAGAAGCACAAGGTGCTGCCTCTCCATACAGAAAACACAAAAACTACATCAAAAAGTGCATGATTGTTTAAAAGATACAAATTACAGTTGCGCCCAGAACAATGTTTCCCTGTTTGTCCCTTGTTTTACCAAGACATCAGCAAATGCATTAGCTGATCTCCCAACCCACTATACTGTTACAGACATATTCCTTGTCAGCCATTTGAATTTCTTTATCTCATTCTTGCAGTCCCACATGACATCCTCCGGATAATTTAACCAGTTATCTTAGAGTCCCCTTCAACCAGAAGCTGTTCCACGCCCATTGCAAGAATTATTCCTTGTATTACAGCTAACAGATCTGCCTGAATAGAGTTCCGAACACCTAAAGGGCCAGAGTATGGTAAGAAAGCCTCTCCAGCCTCATTCCTCAATACACCTCCCAATCCAGAGGGACCCGRGTTGCCCTGGCTACTTCCATCAAAATTCAGCTTCAAAGAACCGTGGGGAGGAGGGACCCAGCTTGTCATTACCTTTACCTTGGATAAGAGCTTAGAAGGTTCGCCTGCATTGAAGACCGGAAACCTGTAAATGGCTGAAGCACTTGCCTTCCGGACCAAAAAATTTTGAAGCTTCTGTGACACCAATCTCCAACCCCAACCTCTTCTTCCTTCTGGAATACAGATGTGCTGATGCCTATTTCTTCCAAAGAATCCCGTAACCTCCAGAAACCACCCTTTTCGGTTGCATTTTAAAGTCACCTAGTACCTTCTATTTGGCAGATCCAAATAGCTTTTCCACCCCTCGATCTTAATAGTGAGAATAGCTCCATCGGTGAAACCTTTCAGCCACTGAACAGCTTCTCCTAATAGAAAGATAGTAGCTCTCCCTTCTTCCCTAAGCTTTAAGATCGATTGACAAGATCCTCGAGATTTAAATAAACCTATAAATGTTTTCTATATAGTAATGTTTAGTTTTACTCATTAAGAAAATAAACATCTTGTAGATCTTAAACAAGATAAAGTGTTTCAACTGACATTCATAAATGTCCCTGTAAACACTCCTTTGAGTTTTCAGATGATAAATGGAATACAAATTGTTCTCACAGYTGTGTTTTGGTGTTGACTCAAAACTTTTAAAGTGCTAAATCCATTTTCTCTAGATGCTGACTGCTAGAAAAAATCTAATGGTGCTGACTCCATTACACTCTATCTTTATTCTACAATAGGTATCTTGCATGATGATTAAGTTTTGCATTATATGGTTTCTGCTATCATCAGTTTCAATTTTGTTTTGTTATTAGTCATACTTTCTCTCTACATAACCAAACAATTCCTTCCATCTCTCTTATTTTTCCTCTTATTCTCTCACTATATTCTTTAATTATTTACTATTTCTTCTATTTAGTTTTTGTAGCCCTTAAATAGCACAACTTAGACCTAACTCCCTTTGGTTTACTTAAATTTTCAAGCACTCTTAAGTTCTGTCTAACCATTTCACAGGGTACATTTAAGAAAAGCATTAAAATTAAACAAGATGAGAGCTAGTCTGTTTCCAGCTTGATATAGCCACCACTATTGGTTATTGTTTGCGTCCAGCATCAATTACTCTTTACCTTTTCTTAATAAAGTTATTGCCATGGGTTCTTTCACAAACATACCTGAGCAGCAAGAGCATCGGAGTAGTCGGAGTCGGTGCTTGATTTGTCCCCAGATGTTTCCAATCCCTTAACTAAGGACTGTATAACAATACAGAACAGAGTTATTGGAGGGAGAGAAAGAAAAGGCATTAATGGTGAGGTTGTGGCATCTAAGATCGCTACAATATGAAACATTTACAAGCAAATAAATTGCGGTTTAATAACCCAATCCCCAGAAAGAAATATATATACAAATCGGTCATGTAAAACCCAACTGCGGAGCTGGAAATCATGACGCTATGTCACTAATTAAATTCAGGAAACAGTTTCTGCCCTGATTTGTCAGTCTACTAGCCGATCAATTTACTCTTAAGCATGAGCTAATCGGTGCACAACTCGCATAACTCGGCAACACGAAGAGCATATGCATAAAAAATATATATATATAGTTTGTATCATAGGGTAATCATCTCATACCTGTAGCTCCGCCAATAAATCAGATAATCGACCATTTCTCAGCATTATTGAACCGGTATACCCTGCAGATAAAACAGACGCAATAGTTCTCTGTCAGAAATAGAATAAGACCTCACAGATCATATGGTATGAAAGAGACCAGAATTACCTGCCCCGACCAAGATCACGATCTTAGAAAGTCCAATCCCGCTTTGCATCGCCATCGCTGTACTCTATAGGGGTTATCAGAAACCCTAATTTCTTCTCCCTTTTTTCTCTGTTTTCCTTAACTCGAACCCAAGCTCAGGGAGGATGAGGTTCTTCGATAGATTTGTTTCTACATTCAATATCTCCTTGAATGAGAAGGGTGGCGGTGTGAATTAGATTGGGAATAGGAGTTTTCTTCTAGCACTCCTCTGACCAGTTCGATCGGGAGTACCTTTTCCCGGGAATTATTTGGCTGACATGGCTGGTACGCTCGCGTAGACAAACTCCTTGTTTTTGTGATGACACGTCATACCTAAACAAGAACTGGACACGCCGCTATTTCCCTTACCCGATAACGGATAAATCTACGATGCCGCAAAGTATGATACCAGAAAACTTTGWCCACTCAAACCCGAATTCGAATTTCTTCATATGTGATAGGGATGCATGCGAATCGGAATTCGAATTCGAATCGAATATTCAATTATATCTCATAAACATTGGTTCGAATTTAAAACCGATGAAGATATTTAATATTCGAATTTAATTCAGATGATTTGTTTTTTTTAAATAAATAAAAATAAGGAAAATTGTATAGAACTCACGGGCTTTTAACATTTCTCTTAAATTCATCATGTCAGCAAGTTTTTATTTTCCAAAACTCATATTCCATTAGTACATCATTAATGCTTCTTAAGAGAGATGCTCATGTCAGCATAAATAACAAGTTGGCCTTTCCCGTCCCTTGAGTGAGTWAGATAGCCCATTCCTTGCTGCTTGCTTAGTAGCCCTTGACGAATTCCTTTTAATAAGGATCTTCCGGCCCCTCGCATTTTTAGGTTAAAGCTTTTATTGTTCTAAATCTTCTTCCCTTGTTTTCTTTCATCCTACCCTTGCTATCTTTCTCGGTTCAGGCCTTTACYGTGAAAAGAGATCCAGCTCCTGCTATATCTTTTGCAATTTAACTTTTATGATCAAATTACCCTTAAATGGTGAATTAGAGGAAAATGGTATTTTTCAGTTTTCAATTTTCTTTTTTTTTTGGTGTTTTTTCTACAATTCTTATTTTTTGATTTTGTTTTTCAATTTCTATAGTCTCTATAATTTGAAAAATATATTTTTTGTTTATAATTTCTATAATTTTATATTTTTTGTAATTTTTATGTTTTTATGTATTTTATATTTAAATTATTTTTTAAACTTTTTTTCCTTTTTTCATGTCTAAATATTAATGGTAATATATTAACACCCATTAATTTATTTTGTATATATTTTATATTTTTCTATGAAGATTAGAATGATAATATATTAATGCCCGTTAGTCTGTTTAACGTCAAGTTAGTGACACGGTGAGTTTTAGACATTTTGAAAAGTTATGGTGAGTTTAAGAGAAATGATGAAAATTCATGGTAAGTTTTAGACAATTTCTCTAAAAACAAAATATACAATTATTTTTCAACTATTTTAATTGCACATATACATGTTTTTTATGCAATATAAATAATATACAAATTTACAAAATACAATATGAATAATACACATATATATATATGCATCATATTGAAATAGGGATGTTCTGAATTCATCCAATTAATCGAATCATTTATTAGATACTAGATCCAAAATGAGGATATCCAATACAATGTGCAACTGTAACGTGTTGTGAGGTGGGTGTGTAGAGGAAATTCAAACTCCTACAACCCTCATGGAACATATAGCTGGAACATTATATTATCAATTTTACGTAGCTAAAAAATAATGCATGAAATAATTGGGGAATAAGTTCCTTCGTCTATAGAAACCAAAGAAGACATTGTAACGAAATAAGAGACAGATTCTTGAGTGCATTCAGAACAGCTAGCTCCATTCATGCTCAATTGCATATTGTAAACTGCCATCAACTGCCGCTTCTTCCACTAGGGCTGCAATTTATGTCGGGTTCGCCTAATTCTAAACATAGGAGAGAGAAATCGGGCGGGCATGGGTTATCTGCAAAAGGATCGGATCAAATTCGGTAAATGGTATGTCCAATCCAATTCGATGGCAAAGAAAAAAAATCATACTGGTCCGAATTCAACAAGAACCATTGAATTTCCAATATTATGATTCGAACTCGAATATCTTATTGGATATCCAATTCGAAAACAATCCGATTTGGATGGTAGTAAAATACACTTGGTGATAATAATATATCATATTACTTATATAATATAGTATTATATTATAATACTTAATAAATAATATATAATATAATATTTCGTAACTAACGCATCGGATCAGATCAGGTTAGGTCGTGGCATGTGAAGTCTGGTATATTAATTATAATTAAGCATATCATTTTTTTTCCGACTTTATCTGATTTGTTACGATCAATGTATCCAGATCTTGCTCTCATCGGATCCAATTCGGATTCGTATTGGATCTTATCGAACTTATTTGTAGCCCTAAGTTGGGTCAATCTAAACTTCAGGTTAGGTTTGGGATTTTTTTAAGTATAGATCTGATTTAAATTTGAGTTGGGTTAGGGTTGAGGCCTTGGCCCATCTAACCCCACTTGAATCTAATTTCAGGTTTCCATGTATAAATGTTATATACAAATATGTATTTAAGTAAGTATTTATGTATATATGTATCTATACATGTATATGTTTACAAAACTATGAATAGGAGGTTAAAGCGCACAGGGTTCCAAGAGGTTAAAGCCTATGAAACTATGAGTTCCTTTCTTTTTAAAGCCTTAAAAGCGAATTGGGATTTATTCCTTTCAGAGTGCACCTCACACCAACCTCACAGCACCATCCCATCGTATATTGAAAACATCTCCCCGTGAATAACAATACAAAGTACGGGAAATTATCCTAATGTGTGGCTGGGACACATTGTGAAGTTGGTGTGAGAAGCCCTGTGTGAGGAGCAGGTCCATACTCCTTAAAAGGCATAYAATTCTGCATTCATAAATGTATATACATATGTACGTGAACATCTATCTATCTACCTATATAACTATGTTTATGCATATACATACGTGTGTGTATGTCAATTATAAGTTCAAAATCAATATTTTGTTAGACCATGATAACTATATCATTTTTGTGTATATAAATATATAAATATATATATAGTAATTCTAAAATTTAGTTGACCTTAATCATTTTGTTCTCTTGAAATGTCACATGAAGAAGATCAAGTGTCTACTCAGCATCGTTGTCATTGCTCCAGAAAATGGTGACACATCAGCACCACATCGGAAAAAATGGTGCTCAAAGAAATGCATGTTTGTTTGGAACTATTTTTTCCATAAAAAACGGTGCTCCAAGCCTTGCCTTGAAAATCAATATGGCATGGTTTGGAGCAACGCCAAATTTGGCGTTTCCTGGAGCTGCAACTCATTGCTGCCAATAGGGACATGAGGTGGCAATGACAGAAACATGACATGGCACTAGATAATAGGTACCGATGCTGAAAACATTTCCTGGTGCATTGGTTCCCAAACAGAAAGCACTGTTGTTGCTCTAGGAAACGTCTTACCTGGCAGCAACATTTTCAAACAAAAAAAAAGACATAATTTTCTTAGAAAACGGTGCTTCCAACCCACACATCAACAGCACCATTTTCTATCAGTAGCATAGATGCCAAACATATACAAAGATATATACGCCTATATGAATAACTTGGGTATTTTGACTAATCAATAATTATGATGCACATATGACATTTTTGTCATCAACTTTGAATAAAAGAGGAGGATTTTTTTGCACAAATTTAGGGGGATCTTTAACTTTAAAAGTTTAGGTAGTTAAAGTATGGAAGGCTAGTTTTGGGAAAAGTGAAAATACAAATATGTTCGGTATAAATGCAAACACGTCTAGTTTATAAAATGGGGAAAATGGTTTAGTTTTGTAATGATAATATTGTATTCTTACYAAATGACTTCTAGTTATGAAAGGTGCAAACATAAATCATAAATCCTGAGGTTGGAATTCATCTCCTTTTTTTTTCGGAGGAGGGGGGGGATTCCTGATCAGTGCCAGTACTTTGGCTCGAGTGACAATTAGGTAGTTAAAGTATGGAAGGCTAGTTTTGGGAAAAGTGAAAATACAAATATGTTCGGTATAAATGCAAACACGTCTAGTTTATAAAATGGGGGAAATGGTTTAGTTTTGTAATGATAATATTGTATTCTTACTAATTGACTTCTAGTTATGATAGGTGCAAACATAAATCATAAATCCTGAGGTTGGAATTCATCTCCTTTTTTTTTCGGGGGGGAGGGGGATTCCTGATCAGTGCCCAATACTTTGGCTCGAGTGACAATTTGGTCCCCGAACTTTAAAATGCGACAAATCAATACCCAAATTTTCAAAATGTGACAATCCAGTACCTGTTGTTAACAAGTCCGTTAATCAACCGTTAAGTGACATTTGAAAAGTAAAAAATGTCCTAAGAATGCCATATATTTCTCTTTGTCAACCATCCAAACATTGACAATAAAATGAATAGTCCCAAATTCTAGATTATTCTAAACAATCACCAACTTTCTTGAATAAAAAAGGCTAGGGTTTGGAACTGTTCAATTTGTTGTCAACATTTGGATGGTTAACAAAGAGAATTATATGGCATTCGAAATGGCACTTTTGACTTTTCAAAATGTCACTTAATGGTTGATTAACAAATTGATTAATGACAGGTATTGGATTGCCACATTTTGAAAGCTCGGGTACTAGATTGTCACATTTTAAAAGTCCGAGTACTGGATTATCGTATTTTAAAGTTTGATGACCAAATTTTCACTCGAGCCAATGTACATGATATTGATCGGGAATTTCCCCCTTTTTTCATTTTTTACATTCACCAACTTTGAGTGCAATAATTACATCTATTTATTGGATGCAAACATTGCTCTCTTTTGAATGCAAACATTTTGTTGAACTAGAGTTTGCACTCTTCCCAAATGGAGCCAAAGTGACACAAGTGTTGGAGTTTACCCCCCCCCCTCACACACAAAAAAAATGATCAAATAACCATTATGAACAAAAAAAAGAGAAAAATTGTACTAATTTGATGATTCGAGTTATAAACCCATGGAACGTCTTTTATTCTTTGTTCATAAGAATATTTTTGGATTAACAAAAAGATCCAATCTCAAGTAACTCAGGATTTCCTACTCGCTTCTCCTACCCACTCTCTACTCGATGTGAATTGAAGCCACACATCTCTATTATGAATTGAGAGATGTGTGGCTGCAATTCACGACGGGTAGAAAAGTGT